GGAATGTGGCAACTCGAACTGCTGCACTTCGGTGTCAAGTTCTATGTTGAATCCAGGCAGCCAGCCAGCTAGTAGCCCAAGTGGTCTAGTGGATAACGCTTTGGCGTTTGAAACTATGGGCACTTGGTTCTAGCCTCGGTGGGAACATCATCACTCATTGGGGAATGCAGGTACATCCAGCTGACGAGTCCCAAATAGGACGAAATGCGCGTTATCCTGGATTCCACTGCTAGTCACCATCCACCAATTAAATACCTTTCATATTGTTCTTCTTTGTCTTCCTATTATGTTTTCCATGTTGTTTCTGAAGTATCGTTCATTAAATCCATCTGTCTGATATTCTTAGCGCTGACACATATATTTATATCTGCATTTATATACTACTCATAAATCTTGTCAGCAGTACACGTCACAGTTGTAGTAGTACTATTTACTAGATAATATTGTTTAACATTTAATGAATGATTTAATAGGCAGTTACATTTCCAATAAAGATTTTCACCGTCACTATTATCTTAGAGACTCTACGAACATAACAACAACGGGTGGGAGTGAAAACTTCATATACAAAGTTGGTTTTATATGACTGCTAAATTACATTTTTTTAAACATTCTCTTCTACAGGAACAACAAACAAACAAGATTTAAGGAATTCTCTAATTTTAATCCCCTCCATTCACAAAAGAGAAGTGTGCTAAGTAACAATAATAGGGGAATAAAATTCACACAAAACGATAGGCAAGACAAAAAAATATACAAATAAACAAAATTGTACCTGAAATAAGTTTTGAACTTAAACATGTAACACTTACAGCATCTAAACTTTGCAAACGAAAGCCATAGGCGATACCACGTCGAGAACTATTCATATAATTACCGAAAGCCAGTATAATTTCTAAAATAGCTCTAAATTTACAACTCTTTTTCAAGGCTAATGAAGCAGATTGTACAGCGGCAATTTTCTGAGGGATGAGGAGAAAAAAGATAAATAATGCAGAAAAAAGAGATTGATTAAATGTTTAAAAAATAAATAAAGCATACTCACCAAACCATTTTTCTTCGATTAGAAAAATAACTAGCACATCTGTTGGAAATGTCTACTAAAATTCTTACTTAACTGGTATAAATGAATGAGTCATGCATTACTGATAACTAACAACTGCAAAGAAAAGTCATGCAATGTGAACATTTCTCAAAAATCACTGTTAACAAAGTGTAATATGGTTTAAGATAGAGTGACTATAAAGCGCAAATGAAATAACACGCTTGAACTCTTGACAATGTATATATCTCGTTTGTTTTTTTTTCAAAATTTCTCTGACTACATACATTGAGGTGTGAAAAGGATACGAAATGGATATTTTTTAAAAGATCAGAAACAAAGACTTTGTGAAATTTGACTAATGACTAGGACTTTGGAAATAATGATATTTTACGTCAAGTTTAAGTAATATGCACTATTATTATTATTATTATTATTATATTCTATGTCCCTTGGATTCTGTGTGACACATAGTGCTTTAGTAGCACATCTCCATTTCAGTCTGTTCACTGCTGTTGTTTTTTTCAGCTGACTCTTCGCCCGCCAAAAATCATTCAACTAATCTTCATATGGTCGCCTCTATTAGCTAAGTAACTGTTTCCAAAATAGGACTTTGTACAGAAAAACTTACTGTCAAGGAATTCATGGGCTGATGAGGTCATGTTTTGGTTTGACCACCACCAACCACTAGCTCTTTTCCATTGACTGTCGAGGAAGGCGATGGATAGGGATGCATGCGTAACACATCTCCTAACCATCTCAATCGGTGCGACTTCATAATCTTGTCGATTGATTTCCCCTCCTTACCTAGCACTCGAAGCAGCAAAGACAGGACTCCAGGTGAACATAGACAAGATGGAAGTTATGAAAATAACCAACCAACCAACAACAACAACAACAGCAAAATCCAGAGCCAATCACCATCAACGGGAGGGATTTTAAGGAGGTTACTTCATTCACTTGTCTAGGGAGCATTGTCTCAACTACAGGAGGAACGGACGAGGATGTCAAATCGAGAATCGGGAAGGCGAGAAACACATTCACCAACCTCAAACCAATCTGGGAATCTTCCGCTGTCACTCAACATCAACAACAAAATTCGGATTTTCAATACAAACGTCAAGTCAGTCAGTTCTTCTATACGGATCAGAAACTTGGCCAGTGTGTCACAAAGAATATTTCCAACAGCCTGTTGCAGACCTTTACCAACAACAACTGTCTTCGCTCTATACTGAAGATCAGATGGCCGGATACAATCACCAACAAGAAACCAACTATGGGAACAAACAAAACAAGAACCAACCGCCCAACAAATATGCAGGAGAAAGTGGAGATGGATTGGACACTCGCTGAGGAGGCCGCTGGGTGACATCGCGCGTCAGGCCATAGCTCGAGTGGAACCCGAAAGGAAAGCGGTGAGTGGGACGTCCAAGGGTGACATGGAGGAGATCATGTGAAGAGGAGTTGAAACAGCATGGAATAACATGGATGCAGGTGAAAAGTACAGCAGAAGACAGAAGCAAGTGGAGACGTGCAGTTGAAGCCCTATGTTCCACTAGGAACCCAAGGGAACAATAATAATACCTAGCACTAGACGCCTAACCTCAATATTACCTACTTGATTATACCACCTGACATAGGAGATAAAACTCAGATACCCATGATCAAAGAAACCTAGCCTATTCACGTCTGCTATGTGAATGTTTCATTCACAATGTACCCGGTTTTGAAGAAATGAACGGAAATTAACTATTTGAAGAGTGGCTATTCAGTCATTATTCTCTGCCGGAGAGCTGTAAACACGCAGTGTATTCATCGCGCTTATTTTCTCTACCCGCCACCGATTACAATCATAACACAAATTTAGACAATCTACTTTTGGGGCTACTTTACCTAGTAACAGTAAAGTCAGATGGACCACGTCTCAATGCATTCATTAACTCAGAAAATTTACTAAATTTCACCAGTTATCCTAATCTATGATTCAAGGCTGTTAAAAACTTTAACTGAAGTTTTAATGACAGATTTGAAATATGCTATAGGAAATAATGTTTATCATATTCCAATTTCGAAAATGTTTCTTCAAAGGTTACATTTCTGTACCAATCAGGATATATATATATATCCCGTAGAGTGCAGTGAGTCAGTGTACGACATGAATGCATGCGATGCAATCATTCTCGGCTTATGTACTTTACTGGAGGGGGTTTGTTTTGATAATCATCAAACCTGACAGTCTTTCTATACATGTAGTTGATGCCCACCGCTAGGAAAACATCACTTACATCACTAAATGTAAGCAATGCTTCTCGCTTGAACTCTGAAAGCACTACTGAACTGCCTTCCTATCACACTTGATTTCCATAGTTGAATGATTTGTTAGCTGTAGTGACAATGTGATGAATAGAGATAACATGATCCATAACAAATAAAGTGATGCCTGTGAACGCATATTCTTATCATTCGCATAGTCATATCAACAAGTGTATTTTTATTCTGCTCACTTCATAAATTGACATTCATTGTATATTATCACATTATCATTTATACAAACAAATCCGATAGTGTTTAGAATGAAAATTAACACCTACATAAATGCTCACACAGGTAAACGTGTGTCGATGAACTATTACTGAGTAAAACTCAAGTTTATTCAATAATGTAATAAAAATAATAATAATAATGATAACAGTATGTATGTGTATCAACTATTATCATTACCTAATCGCTAATCACTACAGATCTGTTACATAAGAGTAATAGAGAAAAGTAACCTTTAACACTCACTCAATCAATCATTGTATCGATCATAATATCGTAACAAAAATAAATACAGTGAGATACAACTGTCTCAAACACAAGTATTACTCTTGTACAGGTGTATTTCGTGTCATATGATTTCGAGTGAAAAAAAAGTTAACAAAATGTAATATAATAGATTAGAAAGCTGAGTAATCAAATATGTACAACAGCATTCGACTAACTAATACCAGTAAGACATTATTGATTACAAAGGAGTGAATATCAGAACAGGAAACTTCAGATTGCTGTTTGATTCCACGAAGAAAAGAAAAACACGACAAAGACTGTTTCTTGTGAGATTAGCTACACCCAATAGTACGGCACCAACATTTGTAGAAACAAGGTGTTGATTCTTACAGTAGACGGTATTGACACAAACGTAGTATTGCCCTCATTTATCTTCTATACTTACAACACTATACTCGGCTTTGTCTATAAACCTGTTGCACAAGGCCTTTAATATTTTTCTTGAAATAAGAGCATATAAAATTTTTTAGTATTTCCTTGAGTTTTGAGTGGAAGGCTTCACCAGTGCATTTCTATTTCCCTCTGCTCTGAGACGTCCTTGTATACTGACCCATATACTTTCATTCCCTTTATTCACTCATAGATCAAAGTTTAACTCGCTGTTTCCCATCCAAGTGCCAGTTGACGGCCTAGCGCGTGATATCCCTCAATGGTCTTCTCAACATAGCTTCATCAATCCAACTCCATTTGTTGGCCAATAGTTTCTTCATTGTTTCGTCGCCACCATTCCTTACTGATCATCTTTGATAACCAGTCATCTGATCTTCTGCAGCGAGTGAAGACACCAGTTGATAGTTGTCTGAAGCCTATTCCAACATCTTTTCGTGACACACCAAGTTTCTGAACCATACGGAAGCACTGACTTGGTACCAACATTCGTGTTGAAGATCCAAATTTTGTTCCTTATATAATGAGTGGAGTAGATTTTCACACACAGATTTCAATGAAAGCATGTCTTTGTTTTCTGATACAGCTTTCGACATCGTCACCTGTGCCGCCTATCGGTGAAACGATGCTGCCCAGATAAATGAAAGAAGCGAATTCCTTCCTTCTCCCGTTGATGCTGACTGGTGTTTGTCGTCATTGTTGTCTTCTGTCTGTCTTCTTTATGTTCACTTGAAGTCGTATCTTCGCTGCCTATTGCGTCAAATTTAATTGATTTTCGCCTGTAGATCTTCCGTTTTGTGAGACATTAGACACAAATCATCTACGAGACCCACTGGGGTTTTCATCGGTCTAACGTACTCCTGTCCTCTTGCTCCTCAAAGTCTGTCAGTCAGGCTATTAGCTGACTCCTAGCTTAAAGATAGGTGGCAGTGAAGTGGTAGAGCCTTATTTAGGAAGTTGCATCAGTCAACGCCAGCTGGTTGATCGCTGACGAAATCTCAGCACGAATACAGAAGGCTCGCTTGACATACTCCAGCTTACTATACGTAATATCCGGCTGGCTGTCGACCAAAGGATGTGTACTGCTCAGCAGTAAGTTTGAGCTATGTTGGGAAATGTGAGTCACCTGGTAGGAGTCCTTGGGATGGTAAGAACCAACGGCTGGAGACAGTTGGTGATATGACTCGAAATCATTCTCAGTGATGCAGATTATCATATCCTATGAAACTCTATTGTTCTTCCATATTACTACTCTTTTTCCCTCACACTGTTTATTATCTCTCTTTTGTATCTCTCTTTACTCTCTTCTCTTGCTTTGTGTGCTACATGTATTGTAGCAACTCAAACTGCTGCACATCCGTGCAAAGTTCTACGTTGAAACCAGTCAGTCAGTCTATTGGCTTCAGAACGCTGTCGTTCCCACGGTTACATTCGACAAATGAATCAGGAACATCAGTTTCGTCCAATTCGGAAGTTTCCATCATTTGGACGTACCTGTGTGTCAGTAAGCGGTAGTGTCAATATGGAGACCGGAACACTTCATTAATGTTTCAAACACCAAGAAGTTTTCCACTACAATACTGAGAAATAGTAACCAAGGTGATAACGCTCAAAATTGAAGAATGCTTGAGTTTCATTGCTAGCTACAATCAGAAACAACAACAAATTATGTTCAAGTGTTGGTTCGCAAAGATTTATTGAATCCAAGTTAGATAATCGGCTGACATCAGTTAGAGAACCAATGAAAACCAGGGAGAAGTAGACGGCTGTTTCGTCCTAGTTTGTGACTCTTCATCTGTACACACTCCGGAGATTGAACCCAAAATCTTTAACTAACCTCGGAACGTGAAGGTTTAAGGTTCAGTCATCAGTGAGGCCATGGTTACGTACTGATGAAGGGTCCTATATTAGGACGAAACAATTGTCCAGTACTCTCTGGTTTTGATAGCCATTACTTCACCTCTCTTAAAAATAATGGAAAGACTGCTTTTGCTTAACGTTGAATCTTCACTGAAGGCTTTTAACGACCCTAATCAATTTGCTTATAAGCGTAGTAGGTGTAGTCTCTAGGTTTCTAGTTTAGATAGAGGTGCCAAATATGTTCGGTGTGCCTTCCTAGATCACAGATATACCTTCGACCCTGTACCCAGGCCTCTTTTGTTAAACAAGCTTGCTGCGTCACAAGCACAGTGCTGGATTACGTCATTATTTTTCTGATAGGAAGCAGTACACTGTTTGCAATGAGAAGTCCTCTACTGCTTCATTACGCTGGCTGGTGTTCCTCAGGGAGCTGTTCTTTCTCCTTTCCTGTTTTCCTTCTTCTTACATCACTTGCCCCATTCTGACGAAGCCAATTTTGTCAAGTATGCCGATGACCTAACTTTTCCTATGCCTGTTACTTCTCAGTCAGACTGTTCCAAAATGAATAACTTTTTATCAGAAATTAGTCAGTGGTCCTCGTCAAATGGTCTTAAGCTTCATCCCTCCAAATGTCAGGTGGTTAATTTCACTTTCAGACGCAAGCGCGACTTACATGAACTGGTTAATTTGCACGGTTCCACTATCATAGATGACGCTGAAGTTGAAACCAAATCGAATGCTAAATACCTTGAACTGTGTATTTCCTCTGATCACCTTTCCTGGTCTTCCCAGATCATGTTAGTTTCCAGAAAGATATTTCCTTTGACGTTCTATGTAAGGATGTTAAGACGATCTGGTATCATTCCGTCTCTACTGTTACCGTTTGTTAATTCTTGTATTCTGCCAATACTTCTTTACTGTTTCCCCACCTTAATCTTTCCTGGGCTGCTTAAGAAAGACTTTGTTATACTGCGTAGGGCACTAAAAGCCGTCAGTAGGGCGAGTGGGGTGTTGCTAAGCCAACTCATTAATACTATTGTAGATAGACACTTGGATTCCTGCAAGAAATAAGCAAATATTATCTTTCCAGACTCTGAACATCCTCTCTATACACAACTCTCTTCTCGTATCTCATCGGATAGAACCAGAAGCAACTATGGAAGACTGTATGCTCGGACGACTAAGTACAAGAACTCTACAATACCTTATTTAGTCGGCTCACATTTTCTGTGATGAGAAAAGTGTAAGACAGGAAATTACCAACTTACTGAGGAACTCTTAGTAAACGGCATTGTTTTTTGTTTTCATTATTACATTGTCGTTAATACTTTCACTTGATTTACTTTTATATTCACTTCTTATTGTACAATATCATTAATGTGAATGCCCTATTTTAATTATTGCCACCCCACCCTTCCCCGGCTGTAATGAGAAAATTAGGTGCAAAATTGTATTACATGCTGAAAATTCCATATTTGTATCAATAGTACTGTTTGGAGTAGAGCTATTATCATTATTATTAACTGATGTCAATCCGTGATCTAACTTGAAAATAATTACTTTATCACTCCTTTTATATCACGACAGTGCGTACTGATGAAGAGTCCCAAACTAGGACGAAACAGCTTTCCAGTACTCCCAGGTTTTCCAGTGGTTCTCTAACTGATGTCAACTCATGATGAAATCCTCCATGCAATCCAAGCAAAATCCCTACAAAACCAATACTTGAAGATATACATACATCTATGCAAAAAAAATTACTCACCGAATTTACAACTTTTAAATTATCCTCGAAAGAATTCATGAACAGAATAATCTCCAATCTAGGTCCTAATCGTTCAACTTTGCATAAATGCAATAAAAGACGATCCTCATCTGTAAGATCTTCAATAGGCCGTTGTTCAGTGAATTCATAATTTAAATAGGTTTTTATCTCATCGGCAGTCGGTAGCTGGTGATATATACGATCAGCAACATCTTGACTTAATTCTAAACGATTAATATCATTCCATAGACGTTCAGGTGTATACTTCTCTGATTCTAAATACCGCAACAATACGCCAATACAACTAAAATAAAAGAAAAAAAAGAAGTAGAAAATGTATAGAAGTTTTTTACTGTTAAAACAATTAATCATAAATAATATAACAAATAATACAGCAGATTTATAGTGTAATAAGTTCGATCGGGTAGAGCTACATATATATGAAGCCCTGATTTGTATGTTGGACGCAAAAGTGAGCTAGCTAATTGAACAGCAGTTTCAATTAGTCGACAAAAAACAGAAGGATATGAACCTTGTTTGAACTATCAAATTGTGGGCAGATAGGCAAAATCATTGATCCTTATATTAACAGATGTAGTTCTGTGTCAAGTATACAGGCAAATATGTAGTTCTAGAGTTTCACATACAGCACAGTGAACACCAATCTGTATCACAAGACTTAATGTGAAAACAAGGCTGAGAAACAGCAATGTCAGTCAAATGAAATGAAGATATTTTAGGAAAATCCAGCTGTTTGCATTATTCACCCATAGTACTGAACACCCATACCCAGAATACTGCGTACTACAGCTGATGCTATCTGTTGTAGGGGAGTGAACTAATCTAGGTATAAAACCAGATTACTGCTTAAAGAATATAAAAGCAGATCAGTCTCCTGAAGTAGCAATTTATATTTGGAAGATGAGAGACACAGTGCGAAATATTTTCAAAAAGTAATACATCTTATCACAGTCTTCAGTCAACACGAATACATTGAGAGTGAATTTTAAGCCAAATAAGTTATCTCACGTAAAGAAGTCAAATCCTACGAAGTGAAGTGCGAAACTACAGTTATTCAAATAAATAAGTCTGTGTGAAGGTCAACAACACTCAGCATCAAAAATAAGATCCGGATTTTCAACTCCAATGTGAAGTCAGTCAGTGCTACTATACGGATCAGAGACTTGCACTGCGCGTCATAAAGAGCATCTCAAACAAACTACAGACCTTCATTAACAGTTGTCTTCGCTCAATACTACTCAAGATCAGATGGCCATAAAAGATCAGCAACAGAGATCTCTGGCAATGAGCGAACCAACCCAGTAGGAAGCGATTGTGAAACAAATAGGCAGGAAGAAATGGAGATGGATTGGCCATACTCTGAGGAAACCATCAAGTGACATCACTAGACAAGCCATTGCTTGAGTGGAACCCGAAAGGGAAGCGGCGAGTTGGTCGTCAGTGCAAGGGTGACTTGGAGGAGGTCATGTGAAGAGGAGATGAAAACGTGTGGGCAGACATGGAGCCAGGTGAAGACTCTAGCAGAGAACCGAACGCAATGGAGACGCACGGCTGAAGCCCTATGTTCCTCTAGGAAAATATTTTATACGATTGAATCAAATCAAGCGTGAACAGGCTATCTATGAACATCCCTTAATATGGACATTTCACAGGGTCGCTCACCGTAGTCCCCACCACGACCAGAATTGTTCATTGAATTCAGAATAAAGACGTACTTGTTGAACATCTCTTTCATTAAGAGATATTGTCGAAAAACCTGTAGATCGACGAGGTCAAATCACCATCGGCCTGGTAGAAATGCCTGTGCTTCAAGATTTGATTCGTCGATACATCTGTGATTACAATCAAAATCACAATATTTCCCCCCACGATCATTCCTCTCTAACTGCGGTTGGTTAACTGATGTATACGATGGATATTATAGATTGTATTACTCAAGTTAATTCTACTCTATCAGTCCAAAATAAATCAGTAAAGTAAACAAATTGGTCGAGCAACGAACTTGGTACTAACCTAAAACTAAATAGTCAGATTTTGACTAACACAAGATAGATAAAAAGAATTACAGCAATCTCAAAACATCATTCAAGAGTATCGCTTATTGTTGCCGGTATGCATAAAGTTGGAAACAGGAGAACAATGCGATGATGACAAAATTCACTCTAGGAAATGTTACCCAAGCATACACAAAGTATAACAACAATTAGTACCCTTTTCTTAGTTTCTATGACCAATACACACACAACAATTCGAAACTTTTTCACACAAAATGAATCAACTGTAAAGCATATTACGAAACAAACACGCAGTACAATAAGCTGTCCAGAAAGGTAGGGATTATAACATGACTATATAAAAATGTATATATATCATGTAAACCATTTAACAGACAAAAGTGTCTTAGAGTATTAGGCCATGAATAACCCTAAATATATGTGTGTGTGTGGGGGGTGACACCGCGTCGTTCGTTATTCCAACCAAAATAAGTAATACAGGCATAGAACACTAACTATTGATTGATTGATTGATTGAAAGTTAAGCACTGATAGTTATACCACGATAACATTCAGTTTCAATGCACTGATCATTTTAAAACACTGCAGATAAAGTACAATAGGAGGTGGTAGTTAAAAACGGAATATGAGAAAAACATTTAGTTACATAAACTATAATATACATAGTTTAACAGTTAGTCAGTCACATTAACCGAGTTTAGTTTTATATCCTGTTTTTAGGTAATGATAAAAACAATTAAATTCGACAGTACAACACTGCGCATGCATGCATGCGTACTCTTACATGCATGCACATGTAAACGTATCGATAAGTTCACTGTTCATTATACTTTAGTGCTAAAATAATCGTAAGATATAAACCTACTTTACAATACAAAAAAAGCTTATTTTAAATACAAGTCATGTGTATATACAGAGTAAAGAAACACCTGCTGGTGTCGACTAAATAAATGTGAAAATCTGTAACATTTTAACCACCACCTTACAAAAATACAATTAAAGTATAAGATAGAAGGCAGGATTGGAGATGTGGCTCATTGCCTTAAACACTCGGTTTTCAGCTGATGATGATAGGTCATAGGATTGAGTCCCACTCCACCTACTGCAGCAGTCTGGGTAACTGGGTAGTAGAATCAAGCCTCATACGATAGCTGTGGCTAATAGCCTGGTACATGAAAAAAACATTCGGCGTGACTGACACAAGAAGAAAAGATTGAGCATCCTGCATAATAAGCAGCACACTCACAAGTAACAGGCGACCGAATCAATCCTGCATTTTCAAACAACGCGTTAACACAGATTTGACGTGGTGACTCCTCCACAGAAGCTCAAGTTTACCGACTAATCACCTCACTTTTAAATAACACGTTTATTACCACAAAACTGATGACGTCTCAAGCACAAATTATTGCTTATAATCATATCAAGTCACTCATACAACTTTTGTGTTTGATTGATATACATGAGTAAAATTGATTAGACATTTGAATAGAATCAATATAAGATAAAGTACATTCAGAAATCATATTAGTGTTATCAATCAAATACAATCAGATTGTATTTGTATCAGGTCAGGTGAGAATGAGACCTGAAAGCTGTTGGTCTAACGATTGGTGGCAGAGTTCGACGGACAGGCAGCTGACGATTCAGAAGTTCCGTGCCACAAAGCTGGGACCGGGCGGAGACCCGCTAGTGTTGGCGGTGAAGCTGGCGAATCTATTAAGTTGCGCATAATCTGATAGTAAGTGTTATAATTATGCAGTTAAATTTGGAATTCATTTCATTTTTTTAAATGTCTGGAACACTATCACCAAGATAAATGGAACTTTTGTCAACCGGAGGAAATCACGAAGTAGAAGAGTACAAATGACTTGCTATGATATACAACTAAGCCATAAGACCTAAATTTTTATTGGTTTACAATGGAAGCAACACTCTCCTCCCTTTACTTATAATCAGCATTTGGTTTTTGCAGCTGACATAAAACTCAGTTAACGGATGACTAACATTTTAGCTGGCTTAAAAGACAGGGAAAACACTATAATGTAGGAGGACGAAATCCTTAGAAATAAACCCCCCCCTGATTTCAAGCGCAGATGCATAATTGAGAGTCAACCTTAAAAAGAGCTGTATTGAAAAGTAAAACCAAAAAAAATGTAGAAAAAATGCTCTTGTTAACTGATTCCTCTCCCTTTCATTTATCACTAGAGTGTAATATTGCATAGAGTAAATCTAGATACTATACAGCCTTGAGGATGTATGTCTGTCTCTGTGATTATATACACCTCTTGAAATGCTCCCATATGACCGGGCGTCTTACATAGCCTCTCCTGAGGAAGTCCTACTCACTGCCTTCACGTGGCAGAGGTGTTTTCCACCAAAGTGAGAGGGCGAAAGCGGATGCCCGGCGCTCTTCACCGGGTTGACTGTCCATTGGATGGCAGTCTAGGGGAGATGGCTAAACCCTGATTCCAAACCTCAAACGACTGGTGTATGAAGCTCACCGCAGCTCACCGGCAGACGTATGGACAAAGGGCTTGTTGGATGTCCTGGATGTCTGGCCCCATTCAAAAAGGCGTATGAACCGAACTCCGGTCACCGGCTGCCAATGGATAGTGGACTTCCTACTCCACTCCTACTGCCTTGTAGGTCACACTTGGTTGTGTAAAGGCTAGAGCTGCACCCTCAAACAAAAGACCGAGCGATTCTGGGGACATCACTCGTACCAAATTCCCATGAAACTTCATGAACTCTCTTACAAACGATGTCGCAGGGGTGGACAGCTGAAAACATGGCTTGGTACAGTCAAGGCTGATATGGAGTGCCTGGGGCTACAAACCGTCTACGGACTCCGTCTGTGGAACAAGAATTGGATAACCCTGTCGCAAAACCTTGCATCAGATCGCCGCGCCTGGGCAGCGATGATTCGAGATGTTCATGAAGCCGGCTCATCCTCCCGTAGGAGATAGCCGAAGTAAAAGTAAGTAAGTAAGTAAGTAATTTAAAAGTAAACAAATCGGAATCCCCATCCCAACTGATAAAAGTTACACATCTATGTGTATTGAATAAAGAATAAAACTTACCGATGCCTATTGGAATCCATTAAAGACTTCCTTTCCACTTTTTTATTTACTCGACTATCCCTTTGATCTAGTCCATTGACTAAGGCAGTAGATCCTGTCGTTGACTTATTGTCTACTGACTGATTCGACAATTTAAATAAACTCTCAAATTTCTCAGTATCCAAAGTTTCTAGAACAGCTTCATCATTCATGCCAACGAATATAGTACCACGAAGTTGTTGATTTTTTAAAAGAACCCAATTGATTAGTGGCAATTTGTATCGAGTCTGTATAGGCGGTCGTATAGAAACGCCTAAATGGAGCATAATAAAAAAGGAAAATAAGAATAAAGAAGATATACTAATTAATAATTTTTACCTGGCGTACAAATAACCCACACTCAGCCACAGTATCTTATATTCATGGACTCAAAATAAGTTTCAAAAGTGATACAGTTAAGAAAAGAAACTTACCTTCAACACCAGGACCCATTGCACCCATTCCAGGCGCAGGAGGAGGTGGAGGTATGCCAAAAGCTGGTGGAGGAGGCGGTGGGGGAGGTGGAGGAGGAGGTGGTGGTGGCGGTGGCGGTGGTGGAGGGGGAGGTGCAGCTGTAGGTGTTGCGTTGTTCAACTTAGTAGGACCATCAGCTATACCATTTATTTGTGGTTTTTCTTTCTCTGTAGAACTTTTCACAGCACTTAAACATTCTTCTAACTCTCTCACGCGTTCTTTCAAATTACGTTCACGTTCTGATGTGCTTTTATCCTTATCCAATAGCTGAGCACGTAATGTAGACAGTTGACCATCTTGATTTGTACGCTGATTCTGTTATAATGATAATAATAAAAATAAAATATTGATCAAAATGTAAGTTAATAACAGAATGACATCAACAGATACCTATAAATTTAGTTTTCTCAATTCACAATCACTAACCAAAAATATGTACTTTGCCATTTTCAAAGTTAACATAATATAACAGAAAGAATATTGGGGCGAAGAAGACTTCGGTCACTTCACTATTTGAACAAGTAGTGTTACACGAAATATATGATTAAGGAAATCATTAAGGACGTGGGAGAGGTAACACATTATAGACGGAATGGTGGGGCTTGTGGATCATTGGCCCAGGTATTCAACTTCCCGACAATGAATCCCACAATCAAATCTCGCTCCAGCTACTCCAGCCCTGTCTGTCTGTCTGGATTCAACATAGAACTTGGCACCGAAGTGCAGCAGTTCGAGTTGCCACGTTCCAAATAGCACACAAAGGTAGACAAGAAAATGAGTGAAGAGAATCAATAGAGTTTTGACAAGTATAAGAGTGAAACAGAATGAGTAATGGTAGAAAGGAATATGAAAGATTACAGAGACTGAATACATCTGCGTAAGCCATTGACAACGATTTTGAGCCATGTCACCTATTGTCTCCAGCCATTGATTCTTAGAGTCCCGAGGGCCCCAACCCGGAAGTCTGCATCTCCCTACCTGACTCAGTTTAACTGTCAAGGATTTCATGGATTGATGCCATGTTTTTGTTTGGCCACCACTTACTCTTTTCCAACCTGCACCTATATCAGCTAGTAATGCCCGTCGGGGGAGGCGATGGTTAGGCATGCGCAGCACGTCACCTAGCCATCTCAATCTATGTAACTTTATAGCCTCGTCGATTGGTTTTCCCTCTTTGCCCAACACTCTACGCCTAACGTCAACATTACTTACCTTATTATACCACCTAACGTGAGAAAGAGATCGTAGACATCTATGATCAAAAACAGACAACCTTTTCATGTCTTCAACTCGTATTGGCCATGTTTCAGAGCCATAGAGAAGGACGGAGCGAACTGTTGAGCAGTACACACGTCCCTTGGTTGATAGCCGGATGTCACGCCTACGCCAGAGACGGTGTAAGTTAGCGAAAGTAGCCCGAGCTTTTTGGATCCGTGCTGAGATTTCGTCACCAATCAATCCGTTGGTGCTGACACAACTTCCCAAATAGGTGAAGTGGTCAACATGTTCTATCACTTCACTCCCTATCACTAAGCTAGGAGTTGACGTAGTCCAGTCCTGTAGCAGCATCTTACATTTTACAGGGGCGGATCGCATGCCAAACATACGGAGATTGCTGCACAAGGTGTTCAGAAGACTCTGCATTTTGTCAGCATCCTCCCCTAACAGAACTATGTCATCTGCATATTCTAAGTCCATAAGACTATTCGCTGGTAACAAGTCAATTCTTAGGGTCGTTAAGTTCAGTTAAGGATGCTTCCCTTAGTATATCTATGATGAAGTTAAACAGCCCTAGGTGACAGGGAAGTATTATCAGCCTTCAAACAATAAGTAAATTCTAACCAACAAATGGAATAACAACTGGTTTATTAACAAGCATTGATGAAACATTTTTGCGTGTAATCAAACCACAGAGGTGAGTCAGTATGTAGGTACTGTGAATCTGAGAGTGCTGAGGCAGTTGGGCACTTTGTGCAGGGCACCAAACCATCATCACACGCCACATTAACTGAAGTAAGCTAAATTCGAACGAAAATTAATTGAAATTAATCTACAGAATTCCTAACATTTATTCCCATATGTGTTGGGAAGTAAAGGTTACCTTATTGTGGTTCAATATATTACGTGTCAATGATTGAATACTATAGATAACAGAAATTAAGATTGATTTCTCTGCGGGAGATATATTCATACCTTATTTTTCATGAGATTTCTAGCATATATATCACACAGTGAAACAGTATAATTTACTGGATATTGACGTTTCGAATAAAATTTATTGTTCATAATCAGATCAATTATGATCACACGACTTCGAAACTTGAGTTTTATAGTTTTTTTGTTCTCTCCTATTTGTCGTAGGAGTAGTAGTAGAATTTTCCAGATGTCCGCATGGATAGGTGTTGAATCAATCCTACTATTTGATTCGATAAACAAAGCTTCTGCTATCAATCTGTCCCTCCACTCTGTTATATTGGATTTTAAAACTGTCATCTTATCCCCATCCTATTGTATAGTTGTGTGTAATTGCATTCAGTGATGTAGCTGAACTTCTCTCCAGATTTCTTATCTTATCTGGATTTAGCTAAGTTTTTGTGCTCCGCTAGTCTGACTGACCCCGTTCTACTACTTTGACCTATGTATTTGACCTGACAATCACTGAAGGGTACTAGATAAACTAAATTGTTTTGTTTAATTGGCTCCACAGGATTGCCTCTAACCGACAAAGCTTGTATCTAATTGAGTTAGTGGGTTTGAATGCCACTTTTATTCCTTCCTACATTGTTAAGAATTCTCCATAAGGTTTCCGAGGTTCCTTCTTTGTATGGAAGTACTACTGATGATTTATATTCCCTATTGTTGGTGTTGTCATTATCCTGGGCATGTTTGACATGCATGTCATCATTAATTATATCTTTAGAGTGAAAGATCACTAATTTTATGGACATCGACAACAGAACTTCCTTCAAATGATCAGAATAGAAAATCTGATTAAAAGTTACCCGAAAGTGAACTGGTGATGCATAGTCCTTACATCGTATACAAAACTATAAGTTTTTTAAATATTTTCAATGTATAAAATGTATATTCCGTTTGACTGATATAGACAAAAAGGTAAGGGAAATAACAAGGTAAGAGAATGAAGATAAGCATAACCTTTCTTGATGCTATATTCGACAGACAGAAAAGCCTTTATACACCTCAGTGTTGGATGTGATTTTCATAACGTTAAGAAATAAAAACTAATCAATCATAACTAGTTTTTTTTTTTTTTTGATGCACAATGATGACTAACTATCTCTCTAAGTGATAGCTAAATAAGTAAATAAATAATATAAATAAACTGGATAATAACAAGAGAATGATGTATAACGACACTACTAAAGGCTAACAAAGCATCAGATCTATTCATCATTGTAAAACTTTGTTATCTATAAATATGATTGTGGTACAAGTGCGCTTATATCTCTCCCCCCCCCCCTTCAAAGTTAAAAACCAACAACTGTAACACTACTAAAATAACTGGAGAAAAAAAATTATAAGATAAACAAGACAGGCTTAATCAAGCATTGTATGTGGAAAGGTATAAGGTGTTGTGCACAATGAACAAGACACAAATATAGGATACACAGGTAGTCAGTCAGTCAGTTATCTAATCAATAAATTGAATGAATGAAATTGAATTAGTCACTTAGTCACAATAGGAAAAGATTAATAATCTGAACTACCTTATATACATGTAATAACCCTGATATTAGATGTTTGGAGTTAAACAATAAGAATCTCGCATTTGGGTCTCAATCATGTTTATTCTCAGTTATCCGGTGCGCTAATCCTGTGATGACTAGTGATACTACTCAGTTGCCCAGGCTAAAGTAGATGGAGCGGGACTCGAACCCGCGAACCATCATTATCATCAGCTAGAAACAGAGTATTTAAGCCAATAAGTCACATCTGCACAGGCCTCAATCACAGCTAGACATATCTGCACTGCTTGCTATATTTTGTTTGTCATCATGTTACGGCGGTGCTCCACAACACTTCACTGTATGATTTATATTTCCTTAATCTTGATTTTCATAGCTTCTACTTAATTTCCCCCAGAAGTCAGGTGAGGTAGATTGGGTCATTAGGCAGAAATGTCTGTCAGTTATACTTGGAACTCGGAAGAAATTTGCCTTTCCACTCGAGATTCGAATGAACACTATTCAGTTCAGTGTCGAAGTTATGCCACTAAGACTTCGAGCAATCAAAAGATCACAAGACAAATATAAATGGATTAACAAACTCCTGCAAACCAACTCCTCCTAACATCCAATAACACAATACACTAAATCACTCCCACAAAGTCACGTTATATCAACAATCCTAAATGTCACACCGAATAAATAACCGAGTTTGAACAACACACTGGATTGGGCAGATACATTTATTAGCATAAAGTGACCAATTTGTGTGTACACTAATCACTAGACAGTAACCAACACAATGATGCCAATCACCAGGACGAATATCCTGCCTTGGTGATCTAACTGACCAATCAGCAGACCTAATCTTATTCAACAGAAACTGATTCACATGAGTTCATACCACAAAGGGGACTTTAGTCTTTTCAAAGTTGCTGACGAGTGTCAACAAACACGACGAAGTTGAAGTCAACTGAGGATTCTTATCGATTGTACTGAACCGGCCTAACTAAAAGTGCATAACAATGTTGAGTATTTAATAGGCGTAATTCAATAAGGAAGTTTGCAGAAGAAAAATAATAATAATAAATACAGGCATTTGTTGAGCAAACCAATTAACCGGCATTATCGTTTCCTTTAAGTCAACGCCTGTGCCCAACTATCAATCACACACACACACTTACATTGAGAATTATCGATACTACAGAGAGACAGCAAATGCAAAAGTCAAGAGTGACTTTCTCACTTTCAATTTGAATGACATACCTCAAATGTTGCATATAATTTTGTTGAGAAAACTACATCCCAGAACCATTTATTGGAGAAAACTATACTTCCTTTGATAAAAACCAATACCAGTTTTAACAGAAAATGATAAGTTGCCAATCTTTGCAGGAAAACAGTACTAAAAAGATGTAAGAAATTCTGTAGTATACAACAACACCAGGCAATACTGCTTAGTATGATGTGGGGAAAGTTGCAAAAAAAAGCCTAACCTCATTTTATCACTATCAGTTCTTATTCTACTCTTACAGAACCACTTGAAACACACTAGGATGCATGTTTACCTATTTTTGAGAATATCCAAATACACCGAAGCTAGCCACTAATTAGCCAATAATAACAGTCTGCTTAGTTATGTACACTTGTATGCGCTTCCTAAGTGTATGACTCATAAAATGAGTTGTATTCAATGATAAAAAAATATATAGTACACTCGCTTTAAAAAGACTGATGACTTCTTAATCACTAGAAGAGATAATGAATGAAATATACATACCCGCTTACCTCTAAATCTTGACATTTCAACTCCAAAGCTTGCATATTTTGTTGAAGTTGTGACAGTTTACTTTCATACTCAGCTTGAAGTGTTGCTGTTCGTGTTTGTAATATGATAAGATCTGATTCTGCTTGTTCTTTTTCCTGTTGAAGTACATCTCGCATTTGTGAATCTTCTAGTAAGACTGCAACATCGACTTCATTATCATTATAGGCTTCTATTTGACGTAGAAAACGATCACCAGCTTTATCATGTATTCGCTGTCATAAATTGTATATAGATAAGAAATTAAGAAAAATACTGATTATTAGCAAATAAAGGATACACTGATTAGTCCAATAACTGCATTATACAATACCTTAAAAAATCTCTATAAAGGCAATAAGTTCGTTTCAATGTACTGACTATTAGGGAGCAGCTTCATAACAGATTTCCCAAAATTGTTGAGTGAAATGTTAACAGAGAGGGATAAAGATTGACAGAATATGAAAAATAAAGGGTCAAAGGATTCGGTGGCTGACTGGTAACATCTTCATTTCAAAATCTGACCACCTAGGACTATTAAAGATTCTCGGATGAAGAAGCCCAATAAGTCACATCTGCACAGGCCTCAATCACAGCTAGGCATATCTGCACTGCTTGCTGTGTTTTGTTTGTCATCATTTTACGGCGGTGCTCCGCAACATTTCACTTTATTGATTTATATTTCCTTAATCTTGATTTTCATAGTTTCTACTTAATTTCCCCCAGATATCATCAGGTGAGGTAGATTGGGTCATTAGGCAGAAATGTCTGTCAGTTATACTGGGGGAACTTGAAAGAAATTTGTCTTTCCACCCGAGATTCGAATTAACACTATTCAGTTCAGTGTCGAAGTTATGCCACTAAGACTTTGAGCTATCAAGATCATAAGACAAATATAAATGGATTAACAAACTCCTGCAAACCAACTCCTCCTAACATCCAATAACACAATACACTAAATCACTCCCACAAAGTCACGCTATATCAACAATCCTAAATGTCACACCGAATAAATAACCGAGTTCGAACAGCACACTGGATTGGGTAGATACATTTATCAGCGCAAAGTGACCAATTTGTGTACACTAATCACTAGACAGTAACCAACACAATGATGCCAATCACCAGGACGTATATCCTGCCTTGGTGATCTAACTGACCAATCAGCAGACCTAATCTTATTCAACAGAAACTGCATCACATGAGTTTATACCACAAAGAGGACTTTAGTCTTTTCAAAGTTGTAGTCAAACCTTGCTGGCGAGTGTCAACAAACATGACGAAGTTGAAGTCAACTGGGGATACTTATCGATTGTACTGAACCGGCTTAACTAAAAGTGCATAACAATGTTGAGTATTTAATAGGAGTAATTCAATAAGGAAGTTTGCAGAAGAAAAATAGTAATAATAAATAAAGGCATTTGTTGAGCAAACCAATTAACCGGCATTATCGTTTCCTTCAAGTCAACGCCTGTGTGCCTAACTATCAATCACATACAGACATACACGCATATATATATTGAAAATTATCGGTACTACAGAGAGACAGCAAATGCAAAAGTCAAGAATGACTTCTCACTTTCAATTTGAATGACATACCTCAAATGTTGCATATAATTTTGTTGAGAAAACTACACCCCAGAACCATTTATTGGAGAAAACTATACTTCCCTTTGATAAAAACCAATACCAGTTTTAACAGAAAATGATAAGTTGCCAATCTTTGCAGGAAAACAGTACTAAAAAGATGTAAGAAATTCTGTACTATACAACAACACCAGGCAATACTGCTTAGTATGATGTGGGGAAAGTTGAAAAAAAAAGCCTAACCTCATTTTATCACTATCAGTTCTTATTCTACTCTTACAGAACCACTTGAAACACACTAGGATGCATGTTTACCTATTTGAGAATATCCAAATACACCGAAGCTAGCCACTAATTAGCCAATAATTAACAAATAAAATACAGTCTGCTTAGTTATGTTATGTACACTTGTATGCGCTTCCTAAGTGTATGACTCATAAAATGAGTTGTATTCAATCATTAAAAAATATATAGTACACTCGCTTTAAAAAGACTGATGACTTCTTAATCACTAGAAGAGATAATGAATGAAATATACATACCCGCTTACCTCTAAATCTTGACATTTCAACTCCAAAGCTTGCATATTTTGTTGAAGTTGTGACAGTTTACTTTCATACTCAGCTTGAAGTGTTGCTGTTCGTGTTTGTAATATGATAAGATCTGATTCTGCTTGTTCTTTTTCCTGTTGAAGTACATCTCGCATGTGTGAATCTTCTAGTAAGACTGCAACATCGACTTCGTTATCATTATAGGCTTCTATTTGACGTAGAAAACGATCACCTGCTTTATCATGTATTCGCTGTTATAAATTGTGCATAGATAAGAAATTAAGAAAAAATACTGATTAACAGCAAATAAAGGATACACTGATCAGTTCAAAAGCTGTATTATACAATATCTTAAAAAAATCTTTATAAAGGCAGTAAGTTAGTTTAAATGTACTGACTATTAGGGAGCAGCTTCATAACGGAATTCCCAAAATTGTTGAATGAAATGTTACCAGAGTGGGATAAATATTGACAGAAGATGAAAAATATGAGTCAAAGGATTCGGTGGCTGAATGGTAACATCTTCATTTCAAAATCCGACCACCCTAGGACTATTAAAGATTCTCGGATGAAGAAGCCGCAGTACTCATCAGTTTTCAACAGTTCTCTCAATAAATCTATAATATCTCTTTAGAACTTTCGTCAGCTGAATGATTTGAAAATATGTATAACTGAAGAAAAAGTTTAGAATTTTCTAACACATTAGGATACAGATATCACGATATTACGAATTCGTGCCAACTGAATTATTTTTAATTGATAGGAATCTAGCTTTTAGAAACTTCATTATTATTATTATTGTTTCCTTTAATTTCTAGAGGAACATAGGGCTTCAGCCGTGCGTCTCCATTGAGTTCGGTTCTCTGCTAGAGTCTTCACCTGGCTCCAAGTCTGCCCACACGTTTTCATCTCCTCTTCACATGACCTCCTCCAAGTCACCCTTGCACTGACGACCAACTCGCCACTTCCCTTTCGGGTTCCACTCGAGCAATGGCTTGTCTAGTGATGTCACTTGATGGTTTCCTCAGAGTATGGCCAGCCAATCCATCTCCATTTCTTCCTGCCTATTTGTTTCACAATCGGTTCCTGGTTGGTTCGCTCATTGCCAGAGATCTCTGTTGCTGATCTTTTCTGGCCGGCCATCTGATCTTGAGTATTGAGCGAAGACAACTGTTAATGAAGGCCTGTAGTTTGTTTGAGATGCTCTTTATGACGCGCAGTGCAAGTCTCTGATCCGTATAGTAGCACTGACTGACTTCACATTGGAGTTGAAAATCCGGATCTTATTTTTCATGCTGAGTGTTGTTGACCTCCACACAGACTTGAGAGTAGTGAAAGCTTGTCTTGCTTTTCCGATTCTTGCTTTGATATCCTCGTCAGTTCCGTTCGCCTGTAGTTGAAACGATGCTTCCCAGTTAGGTAGGTAAAAGAGGTTGTTTCTTTCAGGTTCCTCCCATTTATGCTGATTGTTGTCTGTTGTTGTTGTTGCTGTTGGTGGTGTTGCCCAGGAATCTTCATCACCTCTGTTTTCTCTATGTTCACCTGAAGTCCTATCTTTGATGCTTCTTCTGCCAACTTGTTGCTTTTCACTTGCATATCTTCCAGTTTGTGGGAAATCAGACATATATCATCGGCGAAGTCCAGATCCTCCAAGTGTTTTGTGTGAGTCCATTTTATGCCTGTTTCCTCATTGCCCGCTGTTTGTCGCATTATCCAGTCTACTGCAATCAGGAAAATCATTGGCGATAGTAGGCAGCCTTGTCTTACTCCTGTCCTCACTTCGAAGGATTCCGTAAGTTTCCCGTTGTGGATTACTTGGCATGCAGCATTGTCGTATAGCTGTTGGATGAGATGTATAATTGTCGGTGGCACCCCGTAGTAGCGAAGTAGTTTCCAAAGCACCTCTCGATCAACGCTGTCGAATGCCTTTTCAAAGTCGATGAAGTTGAGATGGAGAGGTGACTGCCATTCCAAGCTTTGTTCAATGATGATCCCTAACTTCATACATTTATTCCTCTTTATGAATCTAAATAAAGCAAACATTAACCGTTTGTGCAGAATAAGATGGTACCATTGGTCATTTCATCAGCTGCATACAGACTAAAGAAGTTGTTAAGCTATGTACAGAACAACATGTTTGCAAATGTTACATAATGCCAGTTGGTAGGAGACACTGGACTTAATAAACACAGATGGTTACCAGGGCAAGGAAGTGTATGTATCAATAATATTTGTTGGACTAAATGAACATAATATAGCAACGTTAAGCATAAAATGACTTTTAAAAGGCAGTATATTATGCATAAATGTGGTGATTTAAAGGTTAAAACATTCTGACTGTAAGCTATAAATAGAAACATTAGTATACACTGTGAATAAGTCTTTAAGAGAAATGAAACAATTGGTCAGTATGATTAATGTATGCTGAATGATCGAATAAAATCATCAAAAAAATCTCTGACTGACAGCTATTATATTAAAACTTACACATTGCAATGACCCAAAGGGCTAAAATGGCTAGAACGACTGTTTAGCGATGCCTTAACATGCCCAAAAGATCGGATGATTACAAATGAAGGTTAGGAGCATTTACAATCACGGTAAAGGCCACAAACACTTAGTTGGAGATCTGAGGGCGATAGTGTTTCGCCCGAGTGACCGGCGATGTCGCGACACATGAATTCATTCAACTGTGATCCTCACAAATAGTAATAAATTTCTTCAAACTTAAGCAACACAGATTCTAATACTTTTAGATAGATTGCACGTGATTGACCTTAAGTAGATACGCTATAGGTTCTATGGCTGTCTCATACACATCAAGATATTAAACTCCCAGGTGTTTATCGATCACCAGCACACCATTTTACTAATGTATTGTTTTAGTGTAAGAAATGAAACGAAATCTCCTATATGGTAAGCCACTAATATCAGACACATATGACGCTTGGCCAAGACAAACAACAGTATTCACTTTATATGAAATGGATGAACGGTAGAAAATTATGAATTTCATGTGCTAATCTACAAAGATATTAAGCACAATAAAATGGACGATAGGATATATAAATATAAATTCACTCTGTAACAAAATGTAGGGAACTGTCTAACAGGTTGCCTTAGTGCTTACACATTCATACATACACACACACACATACACACAATAGACATACTGTATGCTTGTAAACAGATGTTGTCTAGCTGAACATATGACCTAATTCTTAACGAGATTCACTTATTTTTCCCCAGCTTTTATATAACATGACCTAATAAAACCATAAACACTTAACATTTGCACTAAACGATACCAAGTAGTGCTATTCAACTAACACTAGTTGGTACAAAGATACTAAAATGAAATATTCTAGGTTTTTTATATTATGACTAATAGATAACACTAGGTTGTGTGTGAGGAACAATATTCCTCAGTTTCTGATTTCTTCTAAATTTAGTATTTCGGAATCTTGGAGAATGTTGTAAGATATACAGCTAATTCTTTCCAAGTTAATATACTAGACAATAGAGCTTTCAATGGCTTACTAGTCTTCATTTCAAGTGTCGTTTGAAAATCAGTAGTGACAGAAATTTGCACCAAGAATATTCTCTAAGAATTTACTGACTCCATTATTAATTGGATGAGAACAACAAAATTCGGATTTTCAATACAAACGTCAAGTCAGTCAGTTCTTCTATACGGATCAGAAACTTGGCCAGTGTGTCACAAAGAATATTTCCAACAGCCTGTTGCAGACCTTTATCAACAGCTGTCTTCGCTCTATACTGAAGATCAGATGGCCGGATACAATCACCAACAAGAAACTATGGGAACAAACAAAACAAGAACCAATCGCTCAACAAATATGCAGGAGAAAGTGGAGATGGATTGGACACTCGCTGAGGAGGCCGCTGGGTGACATCGCGCGTCAGGCCATAGCTCGAGTGGAACCCGAAAGGGAAGCGGCGAGTGGGACGTCCAAGGGTGACAAGGAGGAGATCGTGTGAAGAGGAGTTGAAACAGTATGGACTAACATGGATGCAGGTGAAAAGTACAGCAGAAGACAGAAGCAAGTGGATACGTGCAGTTGAAGCCCTATGTTCCACTAGGAACCCAAGGGAACAATAATAATAATTATTATCATTATTATTAATTAGATAGGGTAACCTCTCAAGAACAACAAACAAATGATAAATTTGTTTCCTTTTACGAATATGAATAAAGCAAGAGCAACAGTTTGTGCAGAATAAGATGGTACCACAGTATGCATACATTGATTTTTGTTTAAACTTGAACTCTCCGGGTAAAAACTACATATGTGTAATTTTCTGAGCAGCCTGTCAGCTGACATCATGTAAAATTTGCAAGTATGTCAAAATTCTTCTGTACATAAACTTAATAATTTCCTCTGGCTGTATGCAGCTGATGAAACAACTAGTGGTACCATCTTATTCTGCACAAACTGTTTCTCTCACTCTATTCAAATAGATGATAGTCAAGCTGTTCAGTATTATGAGGATAAGATCTTTTTTCTTTTCCTTCACGTTCCCCAGTGGAACATAGGGCTCCAAGCTAGCGGCTTGAAGTTTCTGTAGCATGTTTATTTTACAGGATGGGGTTGCTAGCCTCATGCCAACCTTTCCTCTTTACCAGCATTATTTCTGGCTCAACGAGGTAAAGGAGTGCGTCGGCCAGGAATCGAACCCCGGACCATGGCATGATGAGGATAAGATCACAATCCACTAAAAGACGATCGATTCAATCAAAACAGAACACATTATGAGAATGACTCCCGGTAGATAAGTCAGGCATTTAAAGCGTAAATGTTTAATGTTCGGAAAAATCGTCCTCGATGGCGGCGCAGAAGCTTTCACTCTCTGTAATCCTTCAGATCTATTAAATCCTAATTATTCTCCATACATACTTATGCTTTCTTCTGTGTATCTCCGTTCATTATAGTTCCTCTGAACATTTTCTCTCACTTTGTGTGTTATATAGAGTCTGACAACTTGAACTGCTGCACACTTCTATGAGAAATTCTAGCTTATAAACGCAATCAATCAATGCTTGAAATGTGAACAAGAAGTAAGCTTTAAATAAGTTGAGACTATATCAACAACTGACTAACAGAGGGAATAAGTTCATTTAAATAAATACCTCCGAAAAGATAAAAACTACCATCAATTTCAAATAGCACTAAACACAATCCTACATAATGTCAGCTCAAAGAATACCTACAGTGAAATATTCTGCATTCTGCAATAACTCGAGAGAGAAAAAATGAGTACACGTTCTCAAATAGGCTACATAAAAGCATCATAACTCCCTACAAACATAACTGTTATGCAGAGTTATTAATAGAAATTATGCAGCATACCGATAAGTAGTTAACTAATCCAAGATGTCTGAATTCTTCTTGTAGATAAACTCTTAACATGATATCCTCCGTTGAATGTACAACAATGTTGAAAAATTGCATACACGATACCTTAAAATGCAAAAAAAAAAAAGAAAGAAATATAATCATGAAGTGAAAATATCAAAGGAAATGAAAATGAATATCTTCACAATTAACTGAATTAGCTAACAAATTATGTTCTACTGAAGTAATTTCTCAACTACCAACAAGTGCTTGCTTGAATATGTATGCACCAATTCATTTAACCGACTACTAGTTGATGATGAAATCCAAACACGGGTGCCAAACATTCAGTTGATTGAGAGTGGAAGACATGAAAAGATTAGCTGTCTTTGATCATAGGTGTCTGCGTTCTATCTCCCGCGTGAAGTGGTATAATAAGGTGAGCAATATTGAGGTTAGGCGTCGAGTGCTAGGTAAGGAGAGGAAATCAATCGACGAGACTGTGAAATTACATCGACTGAGATGGTTAGGACATGTGTTACGTATGCCTAGTCATCGCCTTCCTCGACGGGCAATGTTAGCTGATATAGGGCCAGGCTGGAAAAGAGCTAGCGGTGGTCAAACGAAAACATGGCTTCATCAGTCAATGAAATCTACAACAGTTAGTCTAGGCCACGTAGGAAGGTGTAGACTTCCTGGTCGGGGTCCTCAGGACGGTAAAAACCAATGGTTGGAAACAATTGGTGACATGGCTCAAAATCGTTCTCAGTGGCGCAGATGCATCCACTCCTTGTGACTTATGATTTCCAACGAAACTGTTTTGTTCTTCGTTATTACTATTCCTTTGTCTCACACCTCTGTTTACTGTCTCTAATATGCATTTCTCCTACTTTCTTCTCTTGCTTTGTGTGCTACATGGAGTGTGGCGACTTGAACTGCCGCACATCAGTGCAAAGTTCTATGTCGAAAAGAGACAGATTCAGTTGGGGTATTCATTCACTATCTTGGGGTAAAAGAGAACTCCATTAAACCGAATAAGTTTCAATAACACAATCACAAGCTATAATCAACCTAACTTTGAAATCCCATAGTGAAAACCACACATATGTTTATTAACTGAATGAGAAAGATGTGAACGGTCTTCATGTTATCACAGAGTGAGATGACATTTTCTGCACTTCGAATTCAGATTTCTTCCTACACCATAACTACACACTTCTGAAAGAGATGAGTGATTATAAGAGTAAGTGCTACAGTTTCATTTTACAAAACTCAACCACTCCATTAATACAGTATTCATATCTACACACACAAACAAACAAACTAACTAACTAACTTACCATGAAATCCATACTGTAATAATCTGGCGATTCAGATTCATGCGAAAAGAAATAATGCGTTAAATATTCAAATCGTGTTGACTCTCCAACCTCTTTTTTGAAATTATCAAATGCATTTAGAACACGTTCATGACCACCAGCAATTAAGCAGACAACGGTTAAAAGTTCAAGTACTAGAGTTTTTGTTCTAAAAAGAAAATCAAAGAAATTATTAGTACAAAATAAAAAGGTTTAATTGCTGATCATTACCGATAAACAAGTAGATCAAACTTTCAAAAAAGTAGAAATAAAACTGTATTAATGTATCGGAACGTGTGTCGGTGGTTTAGCGGTAGGATGCTCACCAACGACGCATGTGGTCCGGCGTTCGATCCTCGGGCCAATGCACTCCTAAACCTCGCTGGCCCGGTAATGAGACCGGTAAAGATGGAGGGTTCAGCATCAGGCTAGCAACTCCCACCCGGTAAAGATAAACACTAGTTCTAGCTTGGAGCCCTATGTTCCACTGGGAACGTAAGGGAATACAATAAAAATAAAAAATACCTGTATCTGAAGAAACCCAAGTAGTTATGGACGAAAAACTAAATAATAAGATCTAACAATCCGACGGCAAATTACGCATAAGGAAAGAACACAATGATGAAATCTTTGGTAGAGGATCTGAGCTATTTAGGGCAGTTTAAACTTTTCAATAAAAGAATAGGTACTTTAGGTTATATGTCTCAAAATTGACCCCAGTAACATAAATTCGTTCACCTAAAACATGAACATTTCACCACGACATTATTTTCTTCTTTTTATGACCTCTTCTTTAAATACTACAGCTTTATTGTAAATATTAATAATATAACTACCATTTGACTGCTTTTCACTTTGTTAACTTCCCCTTCGTAAAATGGCCATAACTGAATACCATGAACAGACTTTTCATGTGCCACGCAATGAGCCACACTGTGTAAAGGTTGACGGTAATACCCAGTCGTCTACGTTTGTTTGTTTGTTCAAGCTTAATTATTCGGAACAAATTCCTCATGTACCAGGATAAGATCCACACTTATCGTGTGACAGCTGATGATACTAGCCAGTTGCCCACGCTAAAGTAGGTACACAGGGACCCAAAACCTTGACCCACCGGCTGAAAACCTAGTGCTTAAGGCAATAAATCGCATCTTGCTCACATTGAAGTAGGTGGGGCCACATCCGAACCTTGGACCTAATGAATGAAAGTCAAGTTCCAGAGCCAACGAGCCAAATCACTATGCTTGTAGGTTTGCAGTTGGGAAGCAGATGGGTACACAAAGGAAGCAGTAATAAATATCACTTGTCACCAACCAAAATTTTTCAAAGTACCAGCAAAAATTGTAGATATACAATTGAATAAAATTCTCAACACTAACAGAAAACGCACATATCGATTGCAATCGTATGTAGCTATTCATGTGTTTGAAATAATAATTTGTAGCTCAGGTGGATATTTTTGATGTGACTGTGTTATCTAAGCTAAACGATTTAACTACGAGACTTTTAATGTTCCTCTATACACCAACTATAATGCTAACTCCACCCAGCTCAGAGAACATAAACACATCAGAATTCATATATCTACTTAAATCTAACTAAGACTTTAGTTGAGGTAGGTGACTTTATAATATGAGGAACCTGTATACCAGTCGCCTGTGTGATATATTCAGATCATCTAAAGTCCTACAAGTAACCCAGATATAGTCTATTCAGTAATCTAAAGCCACCGGTTAATACAAAAGTTGGATGCAATACTTGTCTACAGAAAAAATAATTGTATGACTCACCTCATAAAAATCATGCAAACAAATCGAAACAGCTGACATAACTTTATCAAGCATTTCCAATTCTCCTCTTAAATCTCATAGTTCGTATACGCTTCAAAATTGTGACAGCAGTATTTGTATATGTAACTCCCTAATGATACGTTGGGAATTCAAATCCCCTAGTGGACAAGTAACACTGAACAAGCAGTTTACTTTATCTTCAGAGTGCTCTTAAACTTATGCTTTACTTGTTTTAATGACAATAAACGTTGATCAAAGCATATAGAATAAATCAAAACTGTCCCAACAAAGCTTAAATCAGTAAGTCTAGTATCGAATCCTAGCAGCTACACACGTTACATTTTTGTTTAAATTGACGTTCCGAATGATTTTAGTATGATGAGAAAAAAGTTATTATTATTGAAGAGGCTAAGAAAGACAACTTACTGATAGCTTGGATGTAACAGACACAAAGCGATAACATTCACAGCACGAGGATGCTCGAATACCATTGAACAGCCACGCTAAAATTAATTGAGAGAGTAGACAGAAAGTAAGATCTATCGTCTTTCTTGTAGTATTAAGTATTAGAGTATTTAGACTGAATATACAGTAGGATTGAACATCAAAAACTTGCAATATATTCTAGAAACAACACTTGGTAGACAACAAATAAAATATAGCCTTGATATATAAATATATAATATATATATTTCCCCAGGCAACAACAAACCATGAAGCAAGTGAACTCTAGAAGAAGCTTCACAATAATGTTAGTCTAAAACCCATTAGCAGCTTAAATGAACTTGAAAAGTCATGACGAGCCCTACAAATAACTTATTCAACTTTTAGTATTTCAGGATAATGGGTCCCCACTAACAGTTTGGAGCTAATACCTGAAAACTGCATGTCGTATAACTTACATACTGCTGTTACATTCATGTATTATAACTCAATCGAGGGAAAATGCTGCTATAGAGTTCTACAAATTAAATGCTTAATGATCTATGTTTCTCAATGGTGACCACCTGACCGATTCCAATCGTCATTTAATACTGAACACACTGCATGCCAGTGAATTAGGCCAATTGTACTGTTACATGTATGAGTAAAACTGATGATGGCTCTTTCTTTTTGTTCCTTCACGTGCCCCAGTGGAACATAGGGTTTCAAGCTAGTGGCTTGAAGTTTCTGTAGCAGTGTTTATTTTTACAGGATGGGGTTTCTAGCCAGCCTCATGCCCAACCTTCCCTCTTCACCAGAATTATTTCTGGCTTAGCGAGGTAAAGGAGTGTGTCGACCGGGGATCGAAACCCGGACCATGTGCATGGTCGGCGAGCATGATGGCTCATTTACTCACACAATAACAGAGTACGCTTTGCAAAAACAGAAGGAATACAATCAACAAAAAGCTTAAATTATAAGTTTCCAAACCGTAGGTGTTACGAACTTCCTGGAATAATTTGAGCGCCGAGTCACATTGATTCATTATAAATTATTTAAATTAATCCCAGCGTGTTAAGAAAATCAAAACAAGATTTTTCTGAACGTTTCGCTGTGTAAGCCACAGCTTCTTCAGCAGATTTATTCGGATTTTTATTAATCATCAAAATATTTCGATATTAAGGAAATAATACTTCCAAGTTGTTAATGTGACATAAAGTGATCAGTTGCCTTGAAAAGACGATAATGAATTATGCTTTCCTTTATTACATCAGGTAATTTCGCTAATATGAAACAACACTATCAATTGGATCAGTTTGAGGAGAAATTTCACCACAGTTTCCTTTGAAAACCAAAATTATTCAGACCATAATATGTGATCTGCTTGATACCATGAATGGCACTCAAGAAAGCAAGCATAAATGTATGGTGCGACATACTACTGATTGATTGATGTGAGTAGTTGGATACCTTTCACATCAACCAATAATGCTTGCTAGCCAGATCGAAGAAGTGATCCAAACACTGGGTGGGCTCGTTCGGGGGCCGCGCTCATTAGCGGTTTATCCGGTATGACTCAGCTCAGAGAGCTGAATCAGTTCAAAACACCCAAATTCTCGCCAACAACCACTAATGGTTGATGTGAGCGGTATTCAACCACTTATATCAATCAATCAATATCAGTAGTATATAGCATGATGAACATTCCCGATGGCAGAAATCCAGATGCAGAAATAAGAGAATGAAGAGCATACAACTTCCTTAAAATTACCTATCAGCTGGTTTACTACACTGATCATACAATGAAGCGGTATTATTTACTGGGTAACGTTTCGAACACAATTTACTGCGCATAATCATATAAAAACAATAAATCAGCAACTTCGAAACTTAGTTTTCACATTTGGGAAAGAAAAATTAGAACTATAAAAACTAAATTTCGAAGTTGCAGAGTTACATTTACTATGACTGTGAACAATAAATTGTGCTCGAAGCGTATTCCAGTAAATATTTCACCGTCATCCATATAATAACCAAAATAATCTGAAGTTAAATAGCACCAGTGTCTAGCTAGCCCGATCGGTATAGAGTGATACCATCAACCTCAAAGTCAAGGATTCGAATCGCACATTAGGCGCCCCCATGTATGAAGAAACTATGTGCCTAATCACGACCAACATTAATAAGTTCCGAAGATGCAGCTGTTTGATAGAGACACAGCTTTTATGCAGCATATCTTGGATTTAAATCCCTCTCGACTTACATATCAGCATCATAAGTTCACAAGTTCGGTTTTCAAATTAGTATATGAGAAAGTACGCCAGGTCTTTAGGTTGCGTCAAGGACGATGAAACAAACACGATAACAAAACTTGTTAAATATGTGACTACTACCCAGTTAGATTAATGATTACGCACCCGTATTTTGTAAAACAGCACATACGTAGTCTCATAAGATGCAAATACTCAGTACCTTATAAAGTGAACCTCGAAAATTAAAATCATACTAATAACAACTCACCTGATTGTTAAGTAAAGCGCGAAAGCATCTGACACCTTGATGAAGACTATCTCTGATTGATTCGGATATGTGTGGGACATGTGGAGAAGAGGATATTCGATTCTTTTTCTTTCTTAAACTAGAGCACCAAAATCCAGACTCAACTTGATCACTTTCATGGATTTCTTCACATAAGTCATTTAAAGAAATTGTTTGGTCTGAACCATATGATCCAAGAAGAGCAGAACGTTGTTGTTGCATACTGTCCACTGATGGTCGAAAATCAGTCCTGAAAGAGGAAGTACCACAAGGGAATTCTTAAAAACTGACATAAAACATGGACGCCGATTATAACATGCTCATCTGACAATGATTGCGTGAAATGCTAATTAGGGCGAAAATCAACGTTGAATGGTGTATACGAAAAAACAGATGTGAGATCAAAATTTTTGATTTGCGTTATCCCAATACACGATTCTTTTATTACCTTCTTAAAAAACATGGGATTATGCGTGAAACATAAGGTTAATGTATGAACAGGACTTGATCACTACAGATTATTATTCCATAATAAGTTGATTTGATTGAATTAGCACACAACGATCCAGTATTAATAGCTGAATCATATTTTAAGCACAATTTATTGTTCTTATGCACATGAAAGTTGGATAATCCTCTGGCAATGCTGATACCAGTTTACTGAATACGAAGAACCTGCAGTCTTTTTACATATGCTGGCAGAGATGCGTCTAATGTACATCATACTCGTTCTTTTAAAGATAGTACGCGAATGCCGAACGAGCTTTCTGTATTCGTCCTGAGATTCAATAATCAGTTCACGACTGCAGTAGTCAGCACATTTGACCACTTCTTATCCTTAAAAAGAGGGCTGACGTTTTCACACCTCACAGAAGCGAAGTGAATTCCAGACATGCTCAGAATTTCTCCCAGAGCACCAAAAAGATCTTAACTCAATACGTGTTCGCAGACGTTGAAAGTGGAAGATATGAGAAGGTTAGTCGTTTCCAAACACAGGCGTTTGTGTTCATTCGATCACCAGGTAGTGAGATACAGTCAGTAATTATGAGGTTAGACGTAGTGTTAGGTAAGGAGGGAAGCCACACTGATTGAGATGGCTATGACATGAGTTACACATGCTGACTTATAACGTCCGTCCACAAGTAGTATCAGTCGCGGTAGGTTTAAGCCAGAGAAGAGTTACAGGTAGTCAGAGGAAACTGCACCAATTTATGAAGTCATTGATTATTAGTTTCAGCAACGTAGGGAGGTGTAGAGTGCTTGGCTGGGGCCATTGTGATGCTAAGAACCAGTGTATGAAGACTACTAATGAAATTCTTCAAAATCCTTCACAATGGTTCAGAGGTATTCGCCCCTTGTTACCATCCATTCTGAAAATCCTCACTAACCTTCATCTAACTATTCTTTATCCCGTATATTTTTGTCCATTGTAGTTTCATTACATTCCTTCTCTCTACCTTTATGTGTGCTTCTTTGAATAGTGACAAATTAAAATGATGCATTCTTACACAAAGATCTACGTTGATAATCTAGCTCAATTTAGATATTTAATTAAATGACTGGCTTTCATATTTGAGTGCATTAGAGGACTACAACCATTTGAAGCAACATAAAAAACATGTAAGTGATAGTCTTCTTACAAGCACAAAGAGCGATGGTGAAACTAGATGACAGCTACAATAAATACGATGAGAATGCAAATTACAGTAAATTTAGAACAAGGAAAAAGACGGCAAAGTATAACATAGGAGCAATCATTAAGACCGTTAAATTTAAAAAAACTGCACTGAACATGCTTTCATTGCATTCGAATACTGCAAACTGTCATAAATTGACCAAAATGGAAACTAATAATTATTCGCATTCCAGGTAACTAAATCAAACTTGATAGATCAAACATAACATGAATCAATAAGTGGTCGTGTACATTATAATTTAGTTCCTATCTACACTATAAATATTTACTAGTGAACACAAAGAATGACACTGAAAAACAATTAAAAAAGTGTCCAGGATCTATAAACTAGCATATCACTTTGCATGCATCCAACTTACGATAAAATGGAACACTTCCTAAATCTTTTCAAACTGTTTACATTAAGTATTTAGATCAATAAATTCACAAGATTTCAGCTTACCTCATAACCATATGAATCACTCTAGAAACATAATTGACTAATGTCTCCAAACCATGTTGGTCGAGGAAATCATAGACCCACCTAAATGTGTATGATGATAAAAACCGAGATTCTTAGGAGACTTACGCCACATTATTTGTTCGTAATGATATCTCTGTGGCCAAGAGGATCTCTTTGGCCTGTTGAGCATCACTTTTACGAGGGTTCTAGGCAAAAAAGAAAAGTTATGATAAAAAGAAAAGCAAAACAAACCTTTGTCAATGTCGAACGCCCAACACGTAAACCTTTGATCAAGCTGACATAATGAAAAGCAGAACATTTAGGGTTTTTTATAGCCTAAAATTTATTATTTTAAAATATAGTGATTTACATAGTTCTCCAACAACTGACGCTTTTGATCGTCTGGTAATTGTTCAATACCCTTGGCTTTATCAGGATCAACATCTAACGACTGTATGAAATTCGCCCATTGGTCTTCATATTTTGCGTTATTTTCATAGTTCATGATTTATCCAATTTACGGATACATCCGAATTGAACACAATGTCTAACTCATTCTGAAAACAAACCGTTCAATATAAATAAGAATACTCACAGTAAAAAATTGTATCATTTGTCCACATAACAAATATCGAGAAAATACACCACAATTCATTCAACTTTATAACTGGACATTTCTTGAACTTTTAGATAAAGAAATCTACTACTAATTCTCTTCTACGTGCGATGATCTACACCCACATTTGAAGCTCAACAATAATTCTATCAAACAAATGCTTCTAAATACGGTAATGATGAATAACAACTCATTTCTGGAAACGTATACGTTACTTTAAGCGACAGTTTAGTCTACAGCTACAAGTTATTCATACTGTTATAGGTTACAGCACACATAATCATAATTATTTCGAAGCTTTTTTTATTAAGAATACATGTTATCAATAAAACCAACTAAAACTGGAACCTTTTTCTTTCATCTCTAGTCGGTAAACAAGAATCAATGACTTGTTCTGTGAATTTAGAAGCAAATCAATTTAGGTGTTTCGCAGGTCCTATTGAAACTGATCTGGTGAAACTAAACTTTCTTGAAACCAGCTAAAAAGCTAACTCACTACTGAATAAATTATGTCCATTAAGTCCAGCTATCTATCAGATGAACAAGTGAATATTAAACTAATGACGCCGACTCAAGTCAACAGATGTGATAAGTAAGCGCCTCATGGTTGGCCACCACATTAATTTTTTTTCCTTTTTCAACCAAAGAAATGAACCTAGTAGGCATGTGCGTACCTCAAAGTCTATCGCGAGATAAATACCCTGGCCCAAACTCAGGAGTAATCGCAATGTTTTTGTGGACTTTGAGCCCCAATTAAGCCACATAACTGGTTTTCAGCACGGTTAGTCGATTTAAATTCTCTGTGATTAGTATATGGGGATTTGTATTCTTATTTAGTTATGGCACAAATAATAAACTCAGTATAATAAATTCGATGCATACGCTCGATGAAAAAGCTCAAATAAAAAATTTTGGGGTATTTAGGGAAAATACGTTGGCGATTAAGGGTAAATGTGGGAATTTTGAGCTACAGTAAGGATGATTAGAGGAAAATGAGGATATCTGGAGGCCTTTAAGGAAAACACCTTGTTCAAAGCATTCCCGTTTTACTATTACAATAGCCTAACTCAAAACTACCCGAAGTATTTTCACTTAAGACAGGTCTCACTGGTGATTTCTGATCTCCGTCAATCATGGAAATCACATTAAATCTGATGTTACTGGTTACTTTTTCACTATAAACGCTTTTAACCTCATCTATGGACTGAATTCATATTGCAGTTTGACCAAGATATGGACTAACACATTTTCCCATCGATAAATCTTAAGATTCTATCAATTCCAAACAGTATGTCTTAGGATGCTATTATCTATTTAAATCTCCAAGAAAGTTTTAATGAAAATCTCTGAGTTTGGAGCAAACCTGTGAAAGATACTTTCCAAACACGAACGAAGTTAACGCCTACAAATATTTATATAAATGCAAATACACTAAAACCAGATCACAAAAACATGCTTGGAAATTCGGCATCGGGTATTTTGAGGCGTATAGAGATATTTTTATAGCTTACCAAGAGTTTACAAGCTATTTTAACGTTATTAACAAATGTAGAACCATTCACGCCTTTTCAAAAGCCCCACCTGACGGACAAATGAATGTGAGTCATTTAAACACCAAAATATGTAGTGTACAACTAACGGTCCTTATCAGCAGGTAGTTAAGTAGTTCGGCACCTTGATCTTAAAAAGGGTTCCAGGGATTCTGATTCTTAACATTTTTTCAGTTGATTAAAATAAATAATGCTTAGCAGTGCGTCTGCATAATATACATTCAGATGTTTATATATAACACAAATGAATAGAAGAAACCTTCTCTAAAAGGTCTCAGTTTAAGTTCGAAATAGAAATTTTGTGCCATTTCACCCTCAAAACTGGTGAGGTATCTCCTAATAATGATTCGCAGTCACTGACGTGTGGTCATGCAGGCGGGTCTCCACTATCACCAAGTTGAATACATAAACATGCAGGAGACAGTGACATAAAATCACCCAACATCCTGCGTGGACTGTTCATCCTGAGTCTGTTAATGTAACCGTGTTAGTCTTGTCTCATAATATTGTGCCTCAAACAAACTCTGATGCTAATTGAGACCTCATAAACTGCGTCTCTTGTGCAAGTACAGAAAGTAGCATCCTACATGACACAGATGTTCATCTCGTGGGACTAACGCATACTTTCAATGGTAATTAATCACGCCGGGATTAGTTATCAACAAACAAGTAACATTATACCAAATAAAACTGTCTTAGGCTGTGCACTGGCTTTTCTGAAATGCAAGTCGTCTATTCATCGGTAGTGAGAAAAACACTGGCTCATCGATTATTTGCACTGTATCTCTTCATTTTAGTACCACCATAACTCGTGGTACAAAATTGGCAGAAATCTATAATGAGTTACGGTAGTTAGTTCAACATCCTCTAAATAGTCTGATCCCATCAAAATATGTGAAACGTTTCCTCATCATCAGATGTGCTAAGTAAAATCCAGGAGTTCAATTTACACCCTACAACAACAGTGGAGTGGTAGAGCAGGAGAAGCCCACCTTTTATAGAGGAGCAGAAGATTTCGACAAAGTGGGCAGCACAAACTATCCTGTAACTTCCGTCAAACTTTGCAGCTTTTTGGAAACTCCTCTCGTATTTTCAGCGAATGAAAGACGCCTTATTCCATCGTTCCAAGCCCAATTCTTCCTCAAATTATGAAGAAAGCCTTAAAAAGTTGACCTTTTCCCACCACCATGAATGTAATCTTCCCGATTTCTCACGATACGGATTTCTGTTTCAAACGTCTGATATTTCTTGCCATTCAAAATTCTCCTGTTTTGTGTTAGATATCTCAGGTGAAGAAGAAACAGTTCTAGCTCCTTAATAATAATAATTTATATTTCATATAAACGGGTAAGTTTACAAGAAATGCGTGCCAGTTTTACAGGCACTATCAGTTATGTTATGAATTACAGTCCTATAGTATCATAAATCACTGCTTTTCGAAAGTTTAAATTGTTCGATTATTATACAAGCAATCAGAACGGGTTCGTATAAATTTTAAGTTGCAAACACTTCACTCAGGTCACCATTAAAAATGAGCGACAACCCAAACTTCGTTCAGTTTCCTGCAGACAGTTATGGTCAATCAGTGAACAGAGTATATTTTGGTAAGTGTCATGCCGCCACTTGATTAAAAGCTATTTCAGGAGGAGAAGATCGTGCTGAGAAACTGCAAAATGGCAAAACCGAATTGTGAATAATACATCACTGGGAGTACATTTATAGGATACATACAAGAAGGAGGTGGAGGCTCCTTGGAATAATAGTTTACATTTGCAATTTTTAATGCCAACCATATTGGTCTTACCATGGAAACTATGAGTTTTTCGATGAAAATATAACTTTGCTCAAAGATTGGTGCTGTTTTGTTATTAACCGAAGCAACCAGAATTTAAGGGAGCAAAAATATGCACAAAAGGTAAGTTTTAGCTTTGATAAAGGCTTAGGTGGTTAAGATAAAATGCAGTATAATAGTGTGTATGTAAAAAGATTATCGTTACGTAGGTATGTGATATTTCAGTGAGAAGTGAATTCAAATATCTGGAAGATCAGAACCTGTAAGACGAATTGAACTGTAAGATGTCTAACGAATTTCTGTAGTGCCCATGGGGTAGCATCTTGATAAGAATCCGAGAAGACTTGTAGATGGTAGGAGCAAAAGCATTTTTTATAATTTAGATCTGTACAACCCTTATTTTTCTTCTTTTTAAGGATCCAGACTAATGTTTAATTCTGCAGCTGCAAAAATACATGCTGCTGTCCTACAGATCGGAACGATTCACATTTGTGACCACTACCATATCTGCTGATCAGCATGTGCCACTCTCCCTCTTTTTTGGTGTTAATCTCTGAGACTATTTTGGTAATAACTGTAGTTGCAGCATTGCATTGCTTTGAGCCTGCCCGAATCATATAGTATGCTGCACATTAATAGCTTTAATAACAAGTGCTTCCCATTAGGTCGCCAGACACATCGATACCTTACGACATTCTTAAGAGTATCACCTTTATGTATGCATACATGTACATAAGCATTTGTTGCAAGCGACTAGGAGATTAATTTTCCTTTAAAATTTATAAAGTATAGAAGTGGCTAGTATTACAGCAACTAAGTTATGGTCTATTCAGCAGAGTGAAATGGATGGTGGAAGAACTAGTGATAGAGTTGTGTAGAATGATCCTGAAGAAAACAGCTGGTTAACAGAACTTGTTATGCTAGATTTTCATGACCGATTTCCATATGGTATGCGTCAGACATTGCAAAGTAACCCTTCAAATTATGCTGCAATAGAAATACTGCGGAATGTTATAAAATTTACATTTTAGAAAAGCATATGAGAAGAGGTAGTTATTGACTGAGTAAAGTCGTTTCGACACAAAAACAGCAGTGTATCATTAACTATACATTTATATATATGAAAGATATTAAAAGGTAGGGTTGCTAATATAATTGTTTCCAGAAATACTCATACTAACAAAACTTATTGAAGATTAAGGAGAATGGAAAGCCAGTAAATTAGTTGAACGTTCTCTGCGTAAGTATTGGAGTCAAGTTATACGTAAGTGACTATACTGATGACAGGACTGGCTTTCAATTGCCTTTCTACCAAGAGCTGTGGTCTTTTAGATGAGCTAGGGTGGACATGTTAATGTGTATTTCTAGGCTCCGTTTGAACCCATCGGAGTTTTCACAGGATCTAATTTCATATGGTAGTTGGTCCCAAAGAGTGCTATATTTAATGGGGAAAAAGTTAACTCTAAAGGTTTTTCTGTGGATAGCCACCTTGAGAAGGTAGTCGTGGTTTCACAGCTGATAAGATTTAATATTTGCCCAAGTTATGG